TGAAAATGTAAAACGAGCTAAAGTAAATTACCTTGAGAAGACAAGTATGAAAAAAATGAAGATTTGAAGCTGAAAAAACTGCTAAAAGAAACATCTACTGGGAGTTTTAACAGTCTAACGATGCATCCTGGGAAGTCTGCTTTTCTATGCCGCTTCTTATAAATGTATTTAATGAGTTGAGCGAATGGCTTGTGTCAAAATGCCTTGAAGTCATGTTTTTACGTTTTAAAACTGTCTAAAAATAAAAAATAGACCATTTTTTAAAGCTGAATTAAATAGAAATAAGATCAAATAAGCCATTAATAATCTCACAGTGGAGAATTTTACAGTGTTATATTGCAAACATGTGGGAAAAAAATATAAAAATATACACAAGTACTGTGGACATTGTACAGATTTTTTCCATAGTTTTGCAAAAATTAGATAATTAAATAAGTAAACTAAAACAGATGGGTGACTTGATCAAACTCCTCCATGATGTTTTAGTGTATGTAAACATACTCAGCCAATAAAGATTCAGTCTAAGTCAATAGAAATCATCTCAGCATCTTCTAACTTTAGTACAAATGAGAGTAAAAGCCATTAGTCTGAAGACTATTTAACTAATTTAAAGGTTTACCTGCTGATGGCAAGAGGAGCATTTCAGTCCAGAACAGAAATGTTGGCTAAATGCTTCCAAAATTCATTTTTAAAGAAAGACTAATACTCAAACCTCCTGCTATCTCCTTTAATCTAGACCTACATCAACTGTCCTGTCCTGCTGCTTTAAGATCAAGCAGATGAGGAGCAACATCAGCATTCATTTGGTGACGTGCTGCTGCTCTCCAGAAAAAGATTACTCCAATTTTCTCGCTGCTTCTCGCTGTTGATATTGGGGTCACTTTCATCTCCTGAGAAAACTGTTCATCTTTCTAGTTGAGATGCTCGACTCCCTCCGCCAGCTCCCTCTGTCAGTGTGCTGTTCGGTGCTGGGCCGCCGGCGTGCAGCAGGTTAATCGGCTCTCGCTCGCCGAGAGCAGCTGCCTGATGCAGCTGGAGACCGAGCTGAGGCCGGAGCTCGCATTAAATATGCAGACTGTAAAACCAATATGATCTAAACAAGGTCAAAAGGCTTTAAAGAGCTGCACATAGAGCTGTGTGCTGATTACCTGTCAGCACAATATTCAACCTTTTCACGTTGTGCAGTCATTGATTTAATGCTACCCCTAGAAATATTGATTCCGGCGGGTTTAATTTTGGGCGACGCTCTCAACCACAAAGGCCGGAGGATCCAACTTAATTTAGATTCTCTGGTACCGTGTCTCTCCTCAGAGGAACAAAACAGAAACCCAACAGATCCACAAAACAGCAAACGCATAATACCGCTGGCTTCCAGAGAAGGCTGGAGAAAAGAGAGGACTGGTGGGGAGTGACAAATTACCTCTCCTCACAATGGCCTGCCACAATAGCACAGCCTGAGAACAAATAATGAATAAATAAAGTTCTCTGAGACTGAACGAACAAAGCAATTTGTGAAGCAGTAGCTTTTGTGTGTGTGAGCGCGAATGGCCTTTTGCTTGTCTCGCAGATGAAACGACCACAAGCAGAACCAAGCGACGGCATCAAAACACCACAAAGAACTCAGGAAGAGACGCTCAGAAATGTCCGCTTTACATCTTAGCTTTCCTAAAAATATACAGCGACGCTGGAGATGAAGTGAGGGAGAGATGTAGCTCAGGTCAGGACAAAATCAGTTCAATCACACCCTTTGCTCTCCGAGGACCATCCTCGCCTGTTCCTCGTGCTTTCTGCTTTCTCTGCTTTCCCACTTCAGCCTCGGATGTGAGGCTGAAGTGGGAAACGGGGAGAACAAGGGTAATGGAGTTAGCAGCATGAGGTCATCAGCGAGATGGAAGGAGAGACTGAAGCATGAAAAAGGTGTGTTGATTGGTGTTGTAAGCACATGTTGGCTTCTTAAATGGCTTTTTTTTCTTCTTTTTTTCCCCCCCTTCAGGCTATTTTCCCAGCCCTTCCCTGGCAACAACCTTACGTAAGAGTTCAAACACAGGGCGAGTGGACAGTTTCGCCCGTGGCTCTGCTCTGACACTGTCCACCAATCTCAAAAACGCTAAACGACACGTAGAAAAAACGCCGAGACGGCTGACGATCTCGTTTTTCTTGGATGTAATTATTTAAGTTGCATTGTATGCTGGGAATTTCTGCAAGCAGCACACCTCATTTACTTCCCAATTTGACACTGCAATGCAGAAAATGTAAGTTTCATCGTGGTTACCGGCTGCGAGGGAGAGAACAGGAGATGTGGGCGGCATGGAAGAAGGAAAATTAATGTCCCTAAAATGAAAGCGAATCAATATGGTTGCCCGAGGACGTGGAAAGGTGGAATGAGAATAAGAGGGGGGGAGGGTGCTGAAGTAAAGTTGGAGCAAGATTAATGGCTGTTTAAAAAGGAACAGTGTTCATCAGCTCCGGGTGCGTGAGCTCAACGGCGTCAGCGCTTGCATGCGAAGGCACGATTTTGCATTAAGTTCACACTTTGGCATTAACTTTTTAACTTTCCCTAACGACCCTCTCGATAAATGACCACCCGATTGTAATACTGATTGCTTTGTTTTTCTTTGCAAATGAGGCCTAATCGTCTTTGTTCACCTTCACGCGCAGGTGGTGATCCAACAGCACCACCTACAGGTTCGAGTGTTTTTTTAACACAACAGATCAGTGATGCACACAAAGTTTCCAAAGTCACTCCACACTGCCAATGAAGTCATGTTTTATTCATGTCAAAAAATACTCAGCTTCAGCCTTCATGCGTACAAAATAATGTCTTTACAAAATCGATCCGACAGGCTGCAGAAAGAGCGAACGCTCCCAATAAATAGTCAGTAAAAACGGAAAAGAAATTCACAGGCATGAAAACGTACGTCCGTCTATCACTTGCACTTGTATGTGAGCTGCTTGCGGTGGTAGTGGATCCACGCGGGAGCAGCAACAAGTCCGGTCAGGAAGCCGATCATAGCGCCCAGGCTGCAGGAAACAGGCCAAACCTGCGAGAAGGAGAAGAAAAGTGATGAAACACCTCAGCGTGTCTGATACATCAAGAGGAGATCAACTATGTTCCCCATAAACAAGCCTCCACACGAGTGAAGTTCACGTCATTTCACTTCCAAATGAAAAAACAGCACCAGTGTCCTTTTGAGTTATTCTCCAATTCCCTCATTTGCATTTTCCTTCAGTCACTTTACAGGGGAAAAAAAAGCCATTTGCAATTATAATTCTAATCATTTCCTTTTTTTTCATTAAAACTTTGAAATAATTAAATAAAAACCAAGGATTTAATGGCCATTGTGTTGAATAATGAAAAATTCACTGTTACAGGGAATTTGGAGCTTAAATATTGAAATCAGCTACAAAAAGAATTCGATGCAATGTTCACTAGTTTATCAGCATAATGGCCTTCCAACACACTGACAGGGATTTTTCGGGGGGTTGTAAAGACAGAGCAGTGGTTTTCTCCACTTGCACTTGAGGAGCGGTTATTTATTCTCCCTCATGTGCAGCTCTGTGATGCATTAAACTGCATATTCGATTGCGTTTACTCCTCAGGGTGAAGCAAGTTTTTGCAGCCCGGTCTGAGGTGCACCAGGAGGTTGTGTTTGGAGAAAATCCACACGAAGTTGTTCAGTTTAGAACACGTATAAGTGCACATAGAGACCACGCAACTGCTCCCCAAGAGAGTCAGCAGTCTCGTGAAGGACAAGGGAGTCTCCTCTGAAGACAGTAACGTACAGATAGTTTGAGAATTAAGTGCACTTCAGTTAGCACTGAAATAATCTACATGTGAAAAGGCACATCATATGGTCATGTTTACTAGGCATGTGGGTGCAGGTGTAAAAGGTTTGGTTGCTTAGTTGTAGAAAATATTACAGAGGATATATTACAGCAAAACGTATTTCCGTAACTGCACAACAGCCGCTGGCACAGACAGCAAGGTCAGCACCGCCTGCAGCCGAACTAACCGCTCTAAGCTGATGCCTTTGATTTCTTCCGGAAAACATTTACCTGATAAGAGCACGATTAATCAGGGAAAGAATGCGTTGACAGCGAGGCCCGGTCGGAGAGCAAGCAGGAGCGTAATTGTTTCCAAAAGTTTCCGGTTCTGCATGTCCAGACAAAGAAGCAACACCGGAGTTTTTAAAACCTAAACAGGGTCAGCAAGTCTCTGGTTTAGGACTCGTGAAACTCTGGAGCAGCACGTGAAAGTAGCAGAAGTTGTGTATTTTAAATTAAAAAGTGTGGAAGTTGCCTTAAATAAAAACATGCGACTCCCCAGCAGTCGGTTAGAACTGAGGAAGCCTCTTGTATGAGAGGTGAAATGTCTTCAAGAACCAAAAGTCCAGCTGCCTCCTCCTGAAGCACTTAGGACTGTGAGTCCACACAAACATGTTAGAATATTCTCTCATCTGACATCTCTGTGGCGCTACATCCCATTAACGGCCTTTCATTTTGCTTTAGAAAAACACTTCATGTGAAACAGCTTCCTCTTTATGTCTGTCATAGTGGAGCACTGACAGTATTATTAATATATACTTGTTGTTTTGGGGCTTCAAGAACTATAATGACACTGATATATTTATTTTCTTTTTGTCTGTTGATTTGCTTTTTGCTCAGCCACAAACACAGGGAAACAGGTAGCCATGTCTTGTATATATAACCTAAAGGTAGTTCATTATGCTGACAGCCAAACCTCACTGACAAGCATCTCCACATACATCAGGTTAAAACAGGAAGTTCATGACAAGCCTGTGCAGTTGAGAGCGTTCGGTGAATCCAATCCAAGCAAATCTCACAGAACTGAGACAGATTAATAACATAAATCTCTCCTGCTCGAGGCCCAGCGTGACATGTTGCTCATGCATGTGCTGACCTGCCAAGGCCTGTCCCAGTCCAGAGGTATCGGGAACGCTCCCACCCAGGCTCCCACCACCGTGCAGGCCACTGTGATCTGCAGACAGGTGTCCCACACAGACATGGCTCTGAAAACAGAAAGGGTCAAAGCAAGAAGAGTTTAGAGACATGCAACAGAAGCACAGGGAGCAAAGAAATAAGAAGAAAAAGACCTTGGTCCTACCCATGTCGACTGAACACTCGTATCCAGGCCTGGACGTTGGGCCCGAGGACGCACAGACACCTCAGTGTGGTCAGCGAGGTCAGCAGCACAGCGAGAGAGAACGTCTCTAAGGCAGATCTGAAACACAAATAAGAACTCAGAGGCTCGCAGCGAGTCAACAGAGTCATCTACAAGCACTTCTGTACAGACAGAACCTGCAGTGTTACAGCAAAAAATCAGAAAATGATAATTTTGAAATCACAAGAATCACAGGATCCAAAATGCAATGCAATGAAGACATGAAACACACAGAGATAAATTCAAATATGTGAGTTTTGCATACAAGTAAATATTAAATATTTGTAGATGCCTACTAACTACATAATTACTGCCAAGCTCTCAGTTTCTATGTATATGTGTGATTATAATCTGGTGATTAGATCTGTTCAGATGCAACAAATCCTCCTCTATTGCCCTTTTTATTCCTTTTTCTTTACTGTCAGTAAAACAAGCAGACATTTACAGGTGTAGCATATGAGCAACACCAGCTACTCACTCGATCAGCGGCGCTCCATAGAGGACGACCACAGTGTGGAAGAACAGGCAGGACAAGAAGAAGTACAGACAGGAGCGAAACAACCTGGAAAGCTGCAAAAGAAAAGGGTAAAGAAGATAGTTAAAGTCAGAAAAATAAATTGTTACAGTTCCTTGAATCTCCACTTGAGGCTGACTCCAAATGTAAATCCATCCCCACAAGCCCTCATGTTAAAATGCTCAGCTTTACAGCAGAAACAAACAACCTGGAACCAAAGATGGCTCTGGTCTCTAATGTTATTTAACTGTACTTGCTTTCTTTATTCAACGTGCATCAGGTTGAGATCTGTATCCTTATTTATCTTTTTTTATGTGTGTGTAAATCCATTTATTTGCGTGTTTTTCATAATTGTGTTAACTTGACAAACAGGCTACAGTGAATAAATTCAAAGTTAAATTCTAAACAAACCTCCTTTTCACTGGTCACTATTAAAAATAGATTCGTAATAATGATTATTGATATCGACTAATATGCAGCATTTTATTATAATAAATATTTCAGCTATATCGGCCATCCTTATGTCAAAACACAATTTACATTGATTTAAAAAAAAATAAAAAATAAAATAAATGCAGCTCTCATTCCACTTGGCCATCTTGCAGTATTCGTTATATTCTGATCATCTGCTCAGTGCTTCTCTCTAAATGATGTGAATCCAACAAGTAATTTCCAGTCAAGTTTTCAGAAAATCTAATATCAATAGAGGCATAGCTTGTAAGGTCTTAGTAATAGTGAACCACAAAATATCGCGAGATTTCAGCCAATTTAACCTTTACGTGAACTACGACCAGGAGCCCAACAGTCACTTCAAACATCACCAGTTCGGCAGCCTTTCAGCACCTTGTATCCCAGTGTGTGCTTCTTGGTGGGCGGTGTGATGCCGAGCAGCCAGAAGACGGCGACACTGACCGCGGTCACCGCTCCGGACACCGAGTAGATCCAGAGCAGGTGGGAGCCGTACACCGAGAAGCCCGGCAGCACCACCGCAGGTAGGACGGTCGCCATGAACACCGAGGCGGCGATGATGGCGTGAGAGGACGCCATGGCTCTGATTTCATGGTCCCACATGACGAAGACCTGCAACGGGAGACTAACACAGCGCACAAAATGAAAATAAAACACTTTAAGTGTTAGAGCGGACGGACAGGGCAGCTTAACTCCATGGAGGAACCTGCGACCTGGTTTCCGTAAACATGGAGGCGCGCTGCCTTCCGCTGCACTTCAAAGTAAAAGCACACTGTTTACACGTTAAAATACAATCTGCTGGAAAGTTGGTCTGAAATAAAGCAGATAAAAGCAATACTGTTTCATTTAACTTGCAATATTTTAATATATTTTGATACCTTATCCCATTACAGACCTAAGAGGAAATTATCCTAAAAAAGATAGAAAATGTTTGCTAACATTATTCTTTTACCCCTTGTTTCATCCATGAAAAAGTGCACACTAAAATCTTTAAATTGTTTATTTTATTTGATTATTTGTACAAACACAGACTTAACAATGTTGTTGATGCTTGTTTTTATTACATCCAATTGTGGTGACAAATAGATTTTTACAGAAGTGTGCAAAGTTGTGTTTGATGTCAGTCATTTTTATGTGTGTCCCCATTAATAAAACCTACTGTATATAAAAAAGTATGTTGTGTTTCCTTCAAAACAACAATAATTTTCTACCTTATAATATGAAAATTTGCAGATCATTAATCTGTGATGTTTAAGCATAAATGTGGAAGAGCAGATGAAAAATAGTTTTCTCTTTCTAATCAACAAAAATCCCAGTTTTATCCAGAATGTGGTCTCAATCTCCTCAGCACATCCCTATGGCGCAAAAAAGAGTAAGATTTAATATATTTTACCAACCTATATTTGTAGTATGGGAGCATTTTCCTCAGTTAAATCAGTTACAACATTACAGATGTGTCTTAAGCTGAACCACTACCTAATTTCTTGGGACACTGCTAATTGTAAACTCAACAAGAGATTATTCTTAGAGGAAGCAGAGACGTGAAGCTCATTTCTGGCTTTTTGAAACTATCTCTATCCAGCGTTTGGAATATGTAAACTCTCTGGAGTTGTTGTTGGTTTTAAGCTATGACATCTTTCACAAAGGATGTCTTTTTAGACGCTTAGAAGGGTATGCGTCACCCTCATCGGACTTTTATCTTGGAGAAAAAATACGCCTTTGAAGCGTTACTTTGTAGGTAACTTTACGAAATTGACTTAATCTTTATCCAATCACAGAACGTGTTATTGGGATCATCGATGACGGACGGTAGGATCAACCAATAAAATCTGAGACCTGTCGGGCAGCTTCGTCCAATCACGATCTGCTGCGATTGTGAGAAACCGGAAGAAACAAAGGTTTACGTTTGTCAACGCGAGCAAGCTAAAGCTAGCTGACGTTTTTCTTTTTCGTTTGCCCGTTTAAAGAATCGCAGAGGAAAGATGGTTTGTGAAAAGTGTACGTATCACTCAATTATTTTATATTTTTAAGCTAACACGCGTTGTTTTTTCGAGGAAAATGTGGACATTCTTTGAAACGCAGGCTAACGTCGTGTGATGCTAACTGTTGTTATTACTGTCCTCATCGTTGTGTTGGTTTATGAGCACCCAGCCTTTCTCTACAAACTTGATTCCTTTGTGTTAAGTGTGTTATTTTCTCTACTCATGTTGTCTTACTTGCTGTTTCAGGCGAGAAGAAGCTCGGCAGAGTCATCACTCCTGACACCTGGAAGGATGGAGCACGAAATACAACAGGTCCGTGAAAACTGGCTGTTTTAAAACAGGAGTCATTAAATAGAGCAGCAGTTTGAACTCTGGATCATGTGCTTGGATTACTTAGTGTATTGACATCATATTTAATGTGACTATTTTGTTAAATTACAACTGCTACTTGCCCCGAAGACTGAGAAGTCATACTACCGTGAGACAAACGCTGACATGACTGTTTTTCTATTTACTGCCTTGGCATGAGATTGGTAGCAGTGGCTGTTTACTATATTGTGTGGTATTATCATGACCAGAAAACCACAAGTACTGTCAGTGGTTTCTGACTGAATGACAGGCAGGTTTTCACAACAGTCAGGAGCATCTAAAGAAAAGTCCAGTTTCAGTGTTGCTCCCGAAATATAATTAACACTATTGTAATATCTTAACCTCAGTATTTAAATGTATAGATTTGTAATGCCAGTCTGATTGTTCTACTTAAATGCAGCACATTGGTTTAACAGCTGCTTTTCAAAATGTGCTTTATCAATAATGGCGACGTGACTACGAGATGTGTCAGAAAAGTTCCAGGACTGGTGTCACAAAAATATTTCAAACCCAAACTAGGGGTTTTCCCCTTCAGACGATCAACCAGCATGTCTATAAAGAGATCCTGCAGCCTTTGCTTTGTTGAGAAGAGGCAGAGTTGTGGCAGGACCAGTTGTGTCTGCTTCACCATGACAACCTGCTCACAACGTCCTGAGCATCTCACAGTTCCTGGCTGAGAAGAACATCTCTGTGCAACCTTCCTACTCACCCCACCTGGCTCCGTGAGGTTGTTTCCTCTTCCCCAAGCTCAAGGGGTCATCAAGGGGACCCGTTTAGAAGACGCGGACGACATGAAGATGGCTGTGATGACAGATCCTGGAGGAATCCTTCCAGGAGTGCATGGCGGCGTGAAGATAAGGCTGGGGAAGTGTGTTAAACTCCAGGGAGAAAACTGGTAGTTTGTAGTTTGGATTTGAAATACATCTTTTGAGACACCAGTCCTGGAACTTTTCTGACACACCTCGTATTACGGTTTTTTCGCTTTAATTACTGTACTTGTATATATCAGTGTTGGCAAAATGCAGTTTTCATTCCCATGTTTGCAGTCTTTTGTTTCTACTTTATCTTAACTGAGCCCCGTTATATCAACCCATAAACAGGGGCTATAGTGTCCGATGTAGTGGCCATGGGTTCGAATCCAGCTCATGGCCATTTGCTATCTAATACAGTCGAAAGGCAAAAAAAAAAATATTAAAAAGAACAAAGCAACTTTATCTTAATTGTTGTTATTCTGTCAAATCGCTTTGTAAACCCTTGTTTTTAAACGTGAGCTATATATGTAATTATTTTTATTCTTCATGTTGTCTGTGATTCTCCAGTCTACTGCTACAGCATGCGGGCTGGATCGTGTTTTACATTATATGTACATTTTGTCGTCTGTGTTTTGTTTTTAATATTGTGCTCAACTTTATCATTGATGTACGTCAATTTTTGCTGTCAAACTTCAAGTGATATTAAGAATTTTAATCATGTGAACAGGCTTTACACCACCTTTGTTTCTGTACATCACTTTCTTTTTTTGTTTTTTTGGACTACTTCATCCATGTTACATCATTCATGTAATGTACCTTATATGATGACGCTTAATAGCATTCTTACTGCTTCTTTTACTCAGAGAGCGGTGGACGTAAGCTGAATGAAAACAAGATGTTGACTTCAAAGAAAGCCCGGTGAGTAGCCTGCTGTGAGAGAATTTCACCCAACAAGAAGTCACTCGAAAATAGTTTTTCTGTTCACTCTCTCTGATGGGTTCATTTTTAGCATGTAGCGTGTTCTGTTTTTGTCACTGAAGCTGTGCTGCTAACACGGCTACACAACACTGCTGCATGTGTCCTCATGTGTCTTTAACATTTGTCCCCTCGTAGGTTTGACCCTTACAGCAAGACAGGATTTGCTACCTGCAGGATCTGCAAGAGCTCAGTTCATCAGTCTGGATCACACTACTGCCAGGGCTGCGCTTACAAGAAAGGTACTCACACTGCTCTGCATAGTTTTATATTACACTAGCACAGTGGTTCCCAGACTATTTTTGATGGTTTTTTTGCTTTTTTACTGGACTTGTTTTTACAGGTTCAAACATTAAAAAAAGAATAAGGTGCAGCAGTGTTTGCAATTAATACAAACCTTCACCTTCAGTGTTTTGACATCTTACTGCCTGAAATAGTAGTTCATAACCACAGTGAACCTTTTACAGTTTTGTTGTATGACGGTCTTTGTTGCTTTAAACAGATTTTCTCAAAATGTCCTCTGTGGGTGAGGATGCCACTCTTCTGTATGTTGTCTTGACTGAAGCAACTTCTGAATAAAAAACCTCTCGTGCAGCTAAGATGTGACAAAAATGAGGAGTTTGTTCAGAGCACTGTGGTCTGGAAACAGTTGTGTTTCCCCTCCAGTCCAAAATGCAGCCAAAAGATCTTGAACCTAAACTGCTGCCTCATTGTTGAATCAAACATCAGATCAATGAACTGTTCCTCCTCTGCGGTGCTGAAATCAGCTGCAGCAGCTGCACTGACGGGTTTCAGATAAAGTCTTTGCAGTACCATGAATTGGCAAATAAGAGAGTTTCTACACACGGGGTCACTGTGTGTTGCATCTTGTTGGTATCAGTGAGTGATTTCTCTCTAAACAGTCTGTATGCCTGTTTTTTACTTGCTGCAGTCACATCTACAACCTTTTTATGAATACTGTGATTTCACCTAACAGCTGAGGACGGTTTATGTTGCTCACGTGCCTCTTCACATTAGGTTTATTGAGTTGCTGAGGCTTGCAATGTGAAATTTGTTGTTGTAAACTTGCTGCTGAGTTCATTCCAATTTGATCCTGCAGTTCAAACACTCTTGATAACCCCTTCCCATGTGACGGTAATCTGGACTCCGATGAACCGGTCATGATCGGCTCCCTTTTCATCGCACACTGATGTCTGTGTGTCTGCTGGGCTTTGGAGGGGGAGGGGGATAAGACTAATTGTCTTGGTAAACAAACAGGAGGTTAAGCAGACAGAATGAAGAGTAGATTTGTTTGAATGCCGTTTGTGTTTGCTGGTGTCAATTCAATACGATATCTCAAGCGGATGATGAAATCCAAATAACAGCGGATCTCAGACGGCATATCAAGATGAACCTTGACGCGGACACATCGAACTTGTGTGGGCGGATGTAATAAACAGTATATACAGTACAAATGAGGAGTGAGTGCAGGACTCGACGGTTCAACAAACGTGACAATGCAACTTATCAGTTATAAAGAAAAGACTATTTAAGGGTTGAAAGTCCCACTGAAACAGCTGGATCTGTGTTTTATAGTCCACATCTGGAATTCAGTATTGGGGAGTCGATTAGAGAAGTCACATCACAGCAGCTATAATTTGATCTTTTATTTGGTTTACTCTCACTGTTGTTTTTAGCTGCAATCGGATGCTGTTTTCAGTAAAAAGTTCATAAAATCTGAATGTGTGTAAATCTTCTATCATCCAGGCAGCTCATGGTGCTCCTAGAAGCTTCAGTAACCTGCACCTGAACTTCTCTTTTAGCTCCTTTAGCTCTTCTCCACACTGATTAACTTTCTTTCCTCCCGTTTCATCTCTCCAGGAATCTGTGCCATGTGTGGAAAGAAAGTGCTGGACACCAAGAACTACAAGCAGACGTCTGTGTGACGGCTCTGCTGGTGAACAAACAGAGACTGTGAAAGAGAGAGATGTGGAGATGGTTTGTCCTCTTACTTTATCCTATAATGCTGCTGGGTAATACAGCAGCCGTACACAGACGAGCCGGGCCGTCTCCGAACACACCGCCAGTTATCACTCGCTCCTCAAGTCAAGCCTTCCAGATTTTTTGTGTATTTTAAATTCAGTACTTAGACTTGTGTTCTTTCCTTTTTGCAGCACATTGATTTCTGTATGTAATATATCCTGCGTTGTATTTTTGAGTGAATTAAAGCTTCCAATATGAGAAAGTTTGACGGGGTTATTTTGTATCTCTGCCCGCGGGCACCAAGCGGATAATTTTAGCCTCTTACGCACAACACATTCATATTAGACTGATACATCCGTAATAACCGGTTTACCCTCGGCATAATCGTATTTGGAAACTGCGTGCTGCACGGTCAGGTGTGACCCCCCCTCCCCTCCCCGCCTGCTTCCTCCTCAGCGGCCGTTGCAGATGGAGGTTAGAGTTCACAAGCTGTGTGACGACAAGCTCCTCCTGTTGATATTTAAAGGGCTTTCTGTCCCTCAGGCCTTCAGCCGCATGCGTGCGTGCTCGCCCACTTGTTTTTAATGTCTCCTTATTGATTTATCCTGTTGTACGACAACGCAGAAACAGAAACAGACCAGCCTCCAGCTGATGTACTGAATGGTTAGTAAACGAGTCAGCTGCTCGCGCCGGTTTAACGACACAAACTGCTGCAATCCCAATTTTACTTTGTTTGCAAGTGACCACAGCTGTAGCTGGTTATGCAATTCTACATGCACTAGTTATGTCACTGTGGTGCGTTCAGGGACATTAATAGAAACATTATCCCCATTCATGCCTGTTATGCAGCAACTCTGTGCTACTATTGCATCCTACTGATTTAGTGAAGTTAAATTTTACTGAACTATTCGATACAAACTGGAAGTTATGCTCAGTTTACAAAAAAAAACCTTCCAGCTACACATTCTGTTTCGCAGCTGTGTGTAGCTCCTGTATTTGCTTTGTGCAGTGCATTGTGGGATTGTGTAGCACATTCAAACAATCAAGCATAAACATATTGACTTTTAAGGACACAAGCAGCGTGACTGCAGTAGTACTTGTAATAAGCACTGGGTAGAGGGTTACACGTGGTCCCCAGAGGATGAATCCCAGTGACTTTTCCTTTTAATACCATTAGCAGGTCAGTGTTTTCCCCTCAGAGTGAAGTTTTTGCTTGATTTTGCACCTAAACTGGAAGTAAGTCCTCGCTTTAACCTTCATCTTGCCAAGATACGGTATTCAACTGCCTGCAGTCCATCACAACCCTGAGAATAAAACTACCGTAAGAAACAAACATCACAGCAAAATGTAAACTTATTTTTTCTCATACTAGTTATTAGTTATCTAATTATTCTCATCTGTTGTTGTTTTAGGAAAGTTACAGCTAATTATTATATCGTGTCAAATAAATCCTTTGCTTTAAGTTTTACCCTCTGTATTATTGACACTGGTCCTCAAAGGCTTATTTATCATCCTCTGATTTTGTTATAATTTAGTTTTCAGTCATTTTAAATCAATATTATTTGTGTTATAACCACTTAAATAGTGAAAGCAACCCTTACCTGAAACAAACCCACAGTTCCTTCAAATGTCAACACTTTTTATTAGTTTTTGAATATTGTACTTGGAGACCTTGGTCTTAGTAAGACTCACTTTCAAATTAAAGGCTGAATAAATGGAATTTAAATTCAGGACTTTCAATATGTACATAATGTAAAATGAATTAAATCTGTCTTCATAGGTGGGACTGGGTGCTTGTTTTCCCCTCAGGACCCAAACGCATTGATATTTTTAAAAAAGCTAATTAAAACAGAAAACATAAAAGAGAGTCGATACCAGCTGATTAAGTAAATTGCAACAACTCCTGATTTGATTCTTCGACTTTTCTTCCAGCTTCGTGCCACCACGAGGTTCACATTTATGTTTTTGGGCGAACTGTTCCTTCAACTGTTGGATAGTTTTTCATGATATTTTGCACACGCACATCCATGTTCTCTTCAGGTTAAAGTGTGATAACTTTGATGACTATTAAACTGCTGGAATCATCAGGTCCAGGTTTGATTTGCAACCAAATACCTGCAATACTACACCTCAGCTGTGCTAAACAAGAAACGTTAGCATGCTGCTGCTAAACTAACAACAACAAAACAAACATCACACCTGCACCCATCTGCAGGTTGGAGACTCTTTAGTTTTCTTCAGGTACACTTTTGCAGCAAGAACACACTGCATACTTAAAACTATGCACAATGTCTACAGCAAATACCACACAGTGACTTTCCCTGAACTGCTTTTGCTTATTGCCATAAATGAGGTCGACAAGTTTAATAACGTTGCTGTCGTTTTATTTAAGCAAAGATTCTTCAGAACACATGGTACAGGGGTCACTGATCGAAACATTGTTGGACTACAGATAAAATCATTTGATTTAAAATGTCATATAATACAAAGACTTTAAAAATGCATTTATAAATGACGACACATTTGGTAAATTATTAAAAATTATCGGATTCTTAATACAACAAAGAAACGTGTAAAAGTACCAACAACATTTTCATCCAAAGAAAAAAACAAAAAAACAAAAGTTCAAATCTTAAGTATTGTCACGTTACAATATTGCACTCATACGTGTTATAACAACAATATTGCCATGTATGACTGTAAAGTATCCTGCAAAGGCACAATGAACGTGAGTCTGTCGTGTTCACATTGACTTGAAATGTTGGATTTCAGCAGCAGGACTGAAATCTCTCAGGCATCAGTGTATTGAGGTTAGCTGCAGAGTTGGAGATCCTGCATCTGACGGCACCTTTACATGTTCTTTTATTGGTCAGAATGCTTTGTAAAGTAAAGCCAGATGCGGATCCAGTGTTATTTTAGAGCTTTTCGTGTGTGTATAGAGGCTCGGGAGTGAACGGTCTATGGCTTCTGTTAGGCGCGCTGGGACAGAGTCAGGAACTCCTCCCGGGTTTTGGGGTCTTCGAGGTAAACTCCCAGCATGGCGCTGGTCACTGTGCGGCTGTTCATCTTCTGGACCCCACGCATCACCATGCACATGTGCCTGCAAACACAAACACGTGTCAGATTTGCAGCGTTTGACGTGGCTTTAAAGGAAACTTATAGATGATGTGTTGTAAGGGGGATTCCACCAGTTTTACATATCAAAGTCAAAGTGTGGAGTTAAAAGAGGTTTCCAGACCTCTGCAGGTTCCTCCTTAGCTCTGCTTGAGGCAACGTTTGCTGCAGAACACATCAGATTCTCTTCCAAACTGCTACTAGTCGAGTTGCATTGTGACTACTATAGACGGGAGGGTTGTGTGGAATAAAAAAAGACGATATCTCGAGTTCTGCCGCATTAAAGGATTCATAACGAGTACAGTAAAGCGAGACTATGTATGCTAACTTGTGTGAAACAGCAACCACTGGGGCCACGAGTGACAATCACAGGATGAAGGTAAATGCTCAAACAGTAGCAACGGAGGGAAGTTAGTGAACCAGCTCAGCTACCTGTTATAGAGGATGAGCTGCCTTGTCATTCCTATAGACTGTATATAAAAGATCGACGTAACCACGGTGATGCACCAGTTGATTCATTGACAACTGCTTTGAAACCCCCAGTTTGGAATTTGTCCATCTTAGACTTCTGATTCTGTGGCGACTCGTCAATCACAAAGTGTTTCATCATCTATTTTACTTTACTTTACATAATACTCTACAAAATGATGGTCGTGCTGTATTGAAGAGGATTTGAAACTGGCAGCTGAGACCATAAACTCATTGGGAAAATGTTTACTGAGGTAACAGAACAAGCAGGAAGTATGCTCATTTTCCCATTGTTGTAGATACAATTTTTTCAAGTAGAGAAGTCGCCCCCTGCTGGCTGTTAGAGAGAATGCAGGTTTCAGTCACTTTTGCGTTGGCTTCACTCTTGGCTGTGTTCATCTTTTACACACAGTGTGATCATAACAGGCCAAGTGATTCTAGAGCAGAGTAAAAGTGTTGAGTGTGAATGAGCAGCAGCTCTGAACCGTGACAGATGGTAACGATGAGTACTTACGCTGCTTCAATGACCACAGCTACACCTTTTGGCTGCAGAGCTTCATGTATTCCCACAGCAATCTGCTTGGTCAGACGCTCTTGAACTAAAAAAAAGAAGAAAAAAAAAATCACCTCATGTAAACTTAATACACTAGATGTTGCCTGTTTTTGAGGACAAGTGTTGTTTTTGTGTGCGCATTAACGGCACTTTTGCGGCTCTCTGGTTGCTCACCTTGAAGCCTCCGGCTGTAGATCTCCACAATCCTGCAGAAACAAAAACAAAGCAGAGAGGACTGATTGCAGATCAGGTGTAATAATTATTAATCTTTTGATAAACACTGACTGACAGCAGCCCCTGACCCCTGCCCTCTGCTCTGGCCATGCATCTGTAATATCCCCTCCATCTGTGAATCATTCATCCTGCAGAATTCTCCGAATCGGCCGCGCAAGATTCAACAGCGGCCAAGTTTGTCTAAAAACTCAGTGACACTGCTACTGTTATTCTGGGGTTTGTATATTCAGATTTGCTGCGATATTTTAGGGAAAGAGGGGGGAGAAGGAGACAGACAGAGAGGCTGTGATGATAACTGGTGATTCCCACAGGTCCGATGGGATTTTCTCATGGCTCGGGAGCGGATAGGGTTCAGACCTGTGTCTGTGAGTGTGCTCGATGAGGGGACCAGATGAAGGCCAGTGGGCTTAGACTGTAAGCCTCCAGGTCAATGCACCGAGATAACAGAAGAACGCAGTCACCCGGCGATAACGCCAGAAACATACAGCCGCGTTGGCAGCACGAGGGTATGGAGCGTGTAGGCGGATGCGTGCTGTGTTACCTTGCCAGCTTGCTCAGTCCCACCACTTTTTTATTAGGAATATAGCCGATGTGAACCTGGAGGGGGAGAGATGACAGCCATGTGAGAGGAGAGGTCACAACACCAGAGCAAAGGATGGTAAATATTAGCAGTCCAACGCTGAACTGAATTACCTGCACACTGCTTGACAGGACAGTGACATCTACATGCACAAGCTTGTACCAACTCAGTTTTTCAGGGCCGCGACTTGTTTCTACAGTAGATTTAATATTTGCTGCACTCCACCTTTAGATCCTGTTGGGTTTGCATGCACTCACTCACCTTTCCAAAAAATGGCACCAAGTGATGTTCACATAGAGAGAACATGTCTATGTCCTTTACGATCACCATCTCGTCGTGGTCTTCATCAAATATGGCGTTGTTTAAGATGTCTAGCGAGGGGGAGAAAAGACACATAGATATAAAAAAATATCATCCACTTAAATGGTTCAGTGAAGAATCTTAATAAATGTGGAATTTTCCAGGGATTTTCCCACATTTCTTGTAGATAACTCCTTTGTGGTCTCATGTAAGATGTCAACTAACTACTAATCTCATCAGTAATTAATCCACCAATTAGTTTCTCAGTGGATCTGATAAAAGCCAGATGTGTGAAGAGTAGAAAAGAATTAAAATGTCCATGAAGAAGGCTTAAAATGTGTCTAAAATAAAAGCTTCTACAAAACAAATCCCCAATAAATCCACCACATAAGCTGAAACTTGCCTACAAAATACCACCACGACTACTAATTATAACATATTTCTACAACATCTTTTAAAGCTGGAGGCACTTTCCAAATCATATAAAAGTCTTTCATGTTTAACTGACAAATAAAATAGTTGCTGATCAGCTACAGTGCATTGGTTTGTGTGCATTGTCTTCTTCTATCAGGAGTAAAAAAAAACACAAAAGGACAGAACACATCACTTTGTAGTTTCCCACTTGGAAGTTGAGAACTGAGCTCAGCACAGTTTTGCAGTTATGGTAAAGGATGGAACACCGTGACTCATTCTGGACGCCTGGTTTTGTGCCATTTCTTATAAACCAACACAAACATGGAATCTGAATCAGATGACACACGAGAATCATCCAGTTCCAACCCTGCAGCACAGAGGAACCTGGTGACTCACCTTCTATGGTCTCATGGTAGCCCTTGGTGAGGAACTGTATGGCCTTGGCGGCGCGCAACGGCGTGCGCAACAGCCCCTCGCGGTGCGTGTCCTCTCCGAGGTGCCGCAGGATGTTGGTGTAGGCGGCCTCCAGCGCAGGTAAGCGGGACTCGTCCTCGTCCTCTTTGCGGGACGTCTCGTGCTTGCGGTGCACGGCGGACTTCTTGGTGTCGATGATGAGGTCGCTGAAGCCGTTGTTGCACTGGAACTCCTCCACGGTGTCGCAGTGGGCGTTCATGTCGGAGCGCTTCTTGAGTCTTTAAGGACGAGAACGAAGGAAAGGAAGGATGTTGAAGTCGGTTCAGCCGGCTTTTCTGCGCTGCAAACTCATCCTCCTCCCGGCGCTGGCGGGTTTATAAAGCCGCCCCGGTGCGCATCTGCTTCCTATTCGTCAGTCGCGGCGCACGTCAAATCCAGTGTCGTCAGCGGGGCTACATGTCATCACAGAGCATGGTGGCCATGCGACCGCATTTTCTGCCTCTCACATCACTTGACACTGACTGAAACCTCCATCCGTTTGTTCTGATCATGCCAAAGCGCATGACTTCCAGTGAAGCTCAGACCTGCTGCTGCTGACAGAATGAGAGCTCATTCTCAAATTGAAATGACATGAAAATCAAAGTATGTGAGAAGTGATACATCCGTGTCAAATGCCTCGATAAGCCCAAACAATAAATGAAAAGCATAATGCAGCGTTAAGGAGACCAGTGGTCTGAGGCTGGACTGGTTATTTTGCATGATGTGTTCACAGCCATGCATGGAGAAGTGAATGTTTTCAAATCAAATAATCCTCAGATTTTTTTTCTTTAGATGAATCATTTAAAATATAATTTCATGAGATGGAACATATGTCCAGACTAGAATTCAAATGTAGTTTTCTGTAAAACCTGGAAATCTGTTTGCTTCATAAAATATATATATATATATTTTGTGCCAATAAACTGCATGTATGTCTGATAGCTTCAGCTTCGCTCTGTGAAGATATCTGAGGACCTTTAAGTCTGTTTAGCCTTTATATTTGTTCAAGCCTGAACATTCAGCAGAATCTGTAAACAAAGTGCACAATGCTTAGTGTCAACAACAACAACAACCATATTTATTCCTATTTATACAGCATGTTTTAGAATGACCTGAGTTGATCAGACGTGCAAAATCAACTTGTAAAACTTACAGTTCCCACTAAAGTTGTTACACATATCGCAATATCTGTGTAGATAACCACAATGTGACTGTGTTTGCATTGTTTGAATCAGGCTTTGTGCTTTCAAGTGATGTGCTTGTGTGTACGGTGCTAATAAAAGGCATTAACCCCCATTTACAAATAAAAGTCTCTTTCATGTCAAAGTGAAAACAGATTTTCACAAATTAATGCATCATACAGCATAAAGAATAACAAACATGGGGCCCGAGAATGTTCATACAACTTTTGAGGCCTCCAACATCAGTACAGCAAGACAAGGTTCCTCATCAGTTTCTCCTCCTGTGCTGTTAAAGTTCAGCAAGAAGACAACATGGAACCAAAGTGACAGTAAATAGACCCCTATGTGCACCATTTGTTGTGGTCCTATGAATGAGGCCACATCACCATTTCATCCCGTCAAAATCTCAAAAAACTGGAACCTCAAAAATTGGTTAAATGCACATCCATATATAAACATGCTTAGAGGAACTCTCTAGAGTTCCAGTACACCACTGGTTTAAAAATGCTGCACTTTCTGCACATTTTCAAGGGTCAACAATTTAAAAAAATGGCCTCTGCTGGAGCCATTTGACCATTTCAATCAATTTTGTCAGGAGTCTTTTTGTGGAGATACTGAACTTGACCAGATGGTACCTTTCTTTCTTAGTATCACCTGAGACTATGTAAGTTTCCAGGTGTATTGGGATGATGTGCAGTAATTTATAATTCACTTTATGACGACCAGCATGTCCCCTTAAAGATACTCAACACATATGGCTACACCGTCTTGTGAAGAAAACGTCGGCAAAGTGTGATCACTTGTCCTAGAAAAATGTCCTTGACTTTCTCAGCTGTATCTAACAATGTTAGCGAAAGGAGAGACTTGTGTCACACGTTCTCACATGCAGACATGTAATTCCCTCTATGTTCCACAGTTCAATCAATACAGCACGCACAAGCTTTGTTTCTAGGAAAGACTTCTCAGCTGAAAAATGTTATTTTTTTTCTTAAATGTGTACAGGTTTAGGTTTTATCTCGACTCTTTAAATGTAGGGCAGCGAAGTAGTCCCCTTTAAAAATTCTAAGTTAATTTACTTTCATTCTTTTACTCATGTAGTTGGATTAGTTTCATGCGTGCAGTAACAGCATTACTCTAAACCTGCATTTAACTCAAAATGGAAAAGTATAAAATAATTTTATTCTTTAAAAGGAATATTATTTGCACATTTACTGACAATAAAAGTGCATAGTTACAGCTCTAATGGAGGACAGCAGCTCAACTCACCTGTTTGCTGAGCAGAAAAACACAAAGGTTAAGATATTTAAAGTTGAAGAAAATCAAAAAGTGTGAAATTTGGCAATGAAACTAAACATATTTACAGAGAAATCGTTCTAAATTTTAAATTTGATAAATTTCACTCTAGTCTTATCTTTTTATGCAACTTTCTACTATTTTTGAGTGTTTTTCTATTGTCAGTAACTATAAATGTCGCCTCTGTTGGAGCCACGTGATCAGTGGGATCTGTTTTAAACAACTGTGTCTGTGTCTTCACCAAACTTCACTGGTGTGGGATTACATTTCTGAAGATACTGAACCTTAAAAATGGCCTCCCAGGTAAGATTTGGTTTTTTTGGGGAAAAAAAAACCAAAAACACACACACACACACACACACACACAAATAGAAAATGTAATTTAGCCAATATACTTTCCAGAACTTAGTTTTGGGTCCCAAATATCAAATAAGTCAATCTAAAATGACTGAGTGACAGAATTTAATTGTAAATTGATGGCAGAAAAACAAAACAAAAAAAACTTACCGTAAATATAAGGAAACTTAACACTATTATCACAGCCAGGTTTGAAGTCACAAAAGAAAATATGAAGAGGAAGAAGACGATGATGATGAAGAAACGGATTGGTAGTGGCTGTAAGATAGTTTTAGTTTTTTTTTTTTTTTTTTTTTTAACACAACAGAACTTTATTAAACAATGAATGTTCACACAAAGAATTGTCCAAATACATAAACAAACAATTTGACAGGCACGTGCTCATAATGATAAATGTATTTTGACAATTTTAAATTCTATGTTAATATAAAAATTAAACAATATGTTAACAATAAATAAATGTTTAAATAAACAAACAAATAAATAAACAAACCACAAAGGGGAGGAGGGGCGTCATTGTCCTTTTTGGAACAGTTCTTTAAATATTTTGACAGTTTTTTTTTCTGCATTATTTAATGCTTTAACATATTCTTCAAAGTCAATAGATAATTGAACAAAACTTGGTTTAGTAGTAAAAAGAAAACGCTGACAGTTCCTGTCGTGTCCCGTTTCCATGGGAACACGTCACCATGCCGACGTAACTTCCTGTTTGGCCGCGGCGGTGGCGGGAGATTCCAGCATGGCGGTGCAACCGAAGCAGAACCTGTCCATGGACAGCGCAGCCGAACACGGCTTCCTGAACTTCATCGCCTCCATGCCGGAGAAGCCGGACACCACGTTCAGGGTGTTTGACCGGAACGACTACTACACGGTTCACGGGAAAGACGCCATATTCGCTGCGAAGGAGGTTTTCAAGACGAACGGGGTCATCAAGCACTTGGGCTCAGGTAACCTAGCATAGCTGACTTAGCTGAGGCGTGCATACTGCCAGCAGACTGCATTTGCAGCTTAGCAAGCGAACGCTTTGGAGCGTCCTGATGCATGTAGCGGTTGTCATGTAGCTCAGGCTAAGCTAGCTGGCTGTGCTGCTTGGTGCTGTGTGTCCTGATGGAGCTGTGCAGGAACTGTAGGTGCACAGATTCAGGGCTCCAATGCTGCAGAGTGAACATACAACACACTGTGACCCTGGGAGTAATGTGAACATGGAGCACTGAGGGTGTTAATGTAAATGCATCGGTCAACAGGGAGTCGCAAGCTGGAGAGTGTGATCCTGAGCAAGCTCAACTTTGAGGCCTTTGTGAAAGACCTGCTGCTGGTGAGGCAGTACAGGGTGGAGGTGTACAAGAACCACAGCAAGAGCAGCAAGGAGCACGACTGGAGGATCGAGTACAAGGTACAGTCACCGGGGCGAAAAGCACAATCATAACTGGACCGCAGGAATACGACTGTTCTGTTTTCATACTCAGGCTGGTTGAAGCTATGTCAGAGGAATGTGTAAAAATTCCAAATATGCTTTGTCTTATTTTGCAGTTAATGTTACTAATGTGCATGCAGATGTTTTTGTAAGTGAATGAACTTGATCTAAGCCTAACACGGTCCCAGGATGTTTCAACTCAGACATACACCATATGACATGAGTTAAACACTAGAGCTTCCCTCCTCTGTCTCTTCTAAACGCAGGCCTCTCCTGGAAACTTGACCCAGTTTGAGGAGATCCTGTTTGGCGGTGGATCAGGAGCAGAAGGCTGTGCAGGAGTTGTGGCCGTGCGTTTCGCGACCGGAGCCGACGGGCAGCGCGTGGTCGGGGTCGGCTACGTGGATGCAGCCCAGAGGACGATGGGAGTTTGCGAGTTTCCAGACAACGAGATCTTCTCCAACCTGGAGTCTCTGCTCGTCCAGATCAGTCCCAAAGAGTGTCTGTTAGCCCAGGGGGAAGGCAACGCGGATGGGAGTAAACTACGGGAGGTAGGTGGTGGGAAAACGGGTGCAAATCATCTGAAGTGTGTCACATAAAAACAAACTAAATCATCCCCTGTGCGTGTGTGTTTGTGTACATACTGGGGTCTAGGTCTGGTTTTTAGTCTGAACACCCACTCAGAGTAAAGCTGGAGGTATGCTGTGGCTACGGTGTGAAGACGTGATCGTTATGTGTCTGCAGGTGGTGCAGCGTGGCGGCATGCTGGTCTCTGACAGGAAGAGAGCAGAGTTCAGCAGCAAGGACATGGTCCAGGATCTGAACAGGCTGCTGAGAGCCAAGAGAGGAGAGACGGTGGCGAGCAACACGCTGCCCGAGCTCGACAAGCAGGTGAAACAGAACAAACGCCGTCCTGACACTTCTGACTCATTCATATTATGTGTGCATTTACAGTATTTGTCACCGGTGATAACT